GCAAAATGGCCCACATTTTGTACTTGAAAGCCACTGCGCTGAAGAAGCTTCACCGATCGGAGGAAGCAATGCAGATTGTGCAGCGTCTCATTGCTTCCCGCAGCACTGGCACCTCGCAGACGCCGATTGCAAAGAAGTTGAAGCAAACCAATTTGAAAAAGTTTCTCAAAAAACTGAAAGAAGATGGTAAGTGAGAGGCAAAAGTGTGCAAAAGTAAACTAATTGAAAACACTTATTACCTTCAGTTAAAACGCCGAGCTACTCCGCCGATTTGAAACAGTGGCGAGAAAGCCATCTGGCTGAGGTGCTTCCTTCTTCGAGCACCACCTCTTCCCTCAAAAGCATCGCCGTCCGGGGAAGCACCGCGGCCGAGTACCGCATCAACGAGCAACAGGTGCGCATTGAGAACTCCGCCAACATTGGCCGTCACTTTGTGGCGAACGGGATCATTCCCGCGGAGACGGTCATCCTTCAGGAGCGACCGATCAGCCTGGCAGTGCAGCCCACAGTGCTCGGAGTGAAGTGCACCGCCTGCTACCACGACTTGGGCCACAGGTATGTGCCCTGTGAGGAGTGCACCCGCGCCGTCTACTGCGACAGCGGTTGCGCCCAGGCGGACGCCCTGGTGCACTCCACCACCTGCGGCGGCATGAAGGAGCTGCTCTACGAGAAGGTGGGCACTTTTGCCATGCACCTCCTGCAGTTGATCACTCGCGTCGGAGGGCCAAAGGAGGCGTTGGAGATTCAACGCAAACTGGCTGACGAAGGCTACAGCATTGATCAGTACTTGGAGGAGAAGAAGGCATTGCTTTCAGGTAAGGACAAAAATGTCTTACTGGACCACCAGCTGTCTGTTGTCGACTACAAGATGGCCTGCATTCTGGCAAGCAATGAGGACAAGCAGACGCTGGAGTCGCACGTCAAGTACACGGTGATGGCGCTGGAGACGGCCATTGCCATCATCTTCGTCTCAGAGAAAGAAGGTGACAATGGTCACCTTCTGGATGAAACTGACTTTCTAGTGCCCTTTGCCGCCCGACTGACCACTAACCTGCGCCAGCTGAGCTACAACGTCTTTGGGTGGACTGACTGGGCGCTGGACCTGTACGTGGGCAACTGCCAGGCGCTGGTCGGCTCACTGGTGAACCACAGCTGCGTGGCCAACACCAAGTGGGAGTGGAAGGACGGCGTCATCAGTTTCGTCACCAAGCGCGAGGTGGCCGCCGGAGAGCACATCACCATCTCCTACGGTCCCAGCGACTGGCAGTCGTACAGCACTCGACAAGAGGTTTGTTGCTCATTGAAATGCCACTTCCTTTCACCTCTCTAACCTGTCTTCCCCTTTTCCTCAGCGTCTGAACCACTACCTGTTTGGCTGCGCCTGTGCCGCCTGTCTGAAGGACGCCGCTGCGGGCAGCGCCGTCAAGTGCACCAACTGCACCCTGGGACCGGTCGTCTACGACACACCGCTGAACGCGGTGCCCTGCATCAGCGGCAAGTGCCTGCAGTGCTTCGCCCTGCACCCCTCCTTCGCCGACTCCACTGCCCGTTTGAAGGAGACAATCAGCCAGGCAAAGGTGCTCACCACCGTGGTGAATGCCTCCCTTCCCAGCACCACCACCATCTTTTCCTCTTGTTCTTCCTCTGAACCTGGCGGGAAGAAGGTGCTGCAGTCGGCTCAAAAACTGCTGAGCACTTTGCATCAGTTGGCACTGCCCACCGGCAAGGCCACCATCAAGTCCACTCTNCCTTTTCCTCTTGTTCTTCCTCTGAATCTGGCGGGAAGAAGGTGCTGCAGTCGGCTCAAAAACTGCTGAGCAGTTTGCATCAGTTGGCACTGCCCACCGGCAAGGCCACCATCAAGTCCACTCTCGCCGTGGCCTCAGTTTTGCTGCTGAGCTGCGCTGCTTCTTTGGAGCAGTTGGCCATTGAGGAGCGCGTCCACATCGCCGACATGGTCGACCAGTGTCTGCCCACCGCTCTTCCCACTGAACTGCTCAACTCGACGATGATGCGCACCATCTTTGGGTGGTTCCACCTGGTGCTCAAGTGGTCGGAGGAGTTCAAGTAAGTTGAGACATTGTGTTCTTTGGTTTCTTTTTTATCGCCTGTTTTCCGTTCTAAACTCAGTTTGACTCCTCACTCGCAATCAGTCGTCTACGAGCCTCGTGACTGTCTGCATCTGGTGCTGCAGTTTCACCGTCGCTGTCAAGAGGCCCTGAAGTGCATGATGGCCAATGTGCAAGGCAAAGGCAAAGAAGACGACGTCGGCCTGGACGACCACAAGGTCTTCAGCGCAATCGTCAACAAGCAGCTGCATTTGCTGGACATGAAGCTCGACAAGTATCGAGAAGTGTTCTAAAAGCTTGGCATACTCTTTGCCTTTTCTTTTAGAACTTGCTTGCAAAATGCTGTTCTGCCAAGGCTGGCAGACTTTATCATCAATGTATTAAAGCAATTTTTATTTTAGATAAAGTTTACGCTCACTGATAACAGTTTCTCTTAGTAACCTTGTTTGCGTGTGAGCGTCTGTTTAGCATGTAAAATAATGTTGTAAACAAAATGAACGCTGTCAAAGTTAAGAAATGCCGAATTTGCAACGAACCGGCTTCTGGTTTCAACTTTGGTGGCCAACTTTCATGTGAAGCATGCAAACTTTTTTTTTACCGAAATGCTTCCAAAATTGACGTAAGTATTAATGCTTTCAAAGTTTATAAAAAAAATTATTGACATTTTATACAATATTTTTAGAAACTCAAATGTTATCGAAAGTTCAAATGTGAAATTTCTACAAAGCAGAATCGCAAACACTGTTGTAAGTGCAGACTTTTGAAATGTCAAAGAGTTGGAATGAAACTCAATGTCAACAGCAAAACAAGTGATCAATTAGTCAAAACTACTA